GTTAACCCCTTCACTGCTGCCTCTGGAGGAGGGGAAAGGACCTCGGGTCCGGGTCTGGGCCTCGGTTTGACCCCGAGGCGAGGGCCGCGAGGGACAGCGACGCCTCTGTTTCACCCCCTTGCAAGCCGTCGAGGCCCCGGCCTCCCTGGGGGCGCAGCCCGGGTCCCGGTTGCAACTGGCGAGCGGGTGCGCGGCTTTCCTCTCCCGTCCTAACCAGGGCTTGGGGCAGGGAAGAAAGAAGACTTGCTCGTCTTTTTCTTGAGCTTTGCAATAAGAGACGAGCCCTGTGACAAGCTACCCTCTGATCAAAGACTGCTTACTGATTCAGGTTTAACTCTGAAATCAACCCAAAGGCTGCATAAAGTGTTGGTCCCGCGCTGGTTAAAATTGAGGAGCTCAACCTCCTTTTTTTCCGAGTCATTCAAGCCCTTCAGCTAGCAATGTCCTATACACAACGTGTTAAACTTGGCTGTTGCCAAAAATAATCTTCCTCCAGCTCTCCGTGAAATCAAATAAGTTTCCAAAAGTGTGGCGAGCCAAAACCCTCCACAAAGTGGGGACGGAGCGGGAGGCAAGGGCAGCTATAAAGTAAGCGGCTTAAAGTGTATCAAACTGTAGCAGGCACCAGCACTGTAGCAAAGGACTCACCCGGTTTATCTATCTTCATTACTTTAAGAAATGCTGCCTCTTTGTTTGTTTGGGTGATATTAAGCATGCTTAACTTGCGCACATAGTTGATTCCTTTGCTAGTATCTTGGATACTTGGATCTGACTTTGGAAGGTAGAAGCTAATTGGTAATAATGGAGAGAAAGGAACCAGCCAGCATGGCAGGAGTGGTCTGGCATATGGGGAATGAGCGCTCAGAAATACTCAATATTCAAGTTTCCAAAATATTAATGAGATTATAGCAACCTGCGGCTATACGTTACAGCTTGTTAATGGAGTGGAAGGGATCGAGCTGCCCAACAGTTGTTATGCAAACTCTATAACAGAACCTTCAGAATGGGAAAGGGATGGTACAACTCTTTCAAAGAAATGCCGGCATAAAAAAGAAAGAAAAAGAAGGAAAGAAAAAAAAAAAGAGGTTAAAGTTCTCATTTGAACTTTGAGCACTCAATTTACCCCAAAGTGGTTTGGCGTTTTGTGCTTGTCTGGATGGGTTAGAAGAACTCATCTTCACTTTTCAATCAGTGTTATATGGAATTTCCAGTCGGATTTCTCTTCAGCAGAAATGTGAAAGATTTCCTTAAATGGAGATGAGGTTTACCTCCAATTCCTATATAATGCTCTAAGGTTTACAAGTATAAATGTGTGCTTACTGTGATGCTCCCCTGGCACGTGAATAGCTGTGCCTCTAACCGTCGGTTCTCATGGAGAAACGCACAGAATCGCTGGTTCCCCGGTGAGCAGGGGTAGTAAGATTCAGTTCTGCAGGTTGATATTTTCTAGCTGTGAGACTGGGGACAAACTGGGGCAGCAGTTTCCTCACTTATAGAAGATTGGAAGGAAGATACTCCTAGTATTCTATTTTGTAATTTTTGAGGTCTTGAAAAGTACTAACTTTGATAAGGTCGTTTTCCTCTTTGGTTGATTTGAAATGAGCATGAATACATATTTTCTCTGAGAAAAAAATTTTTTTTCCCTCCTATCTTTTCCCTACTCAGACTTGTAACAGGTTAAAAACAAAAAAACCTTTAGGTCCTGCTTTCTCTCTCGCTCTGCGCATACAGGGAAATGTACCACGCAGAGTAACTGTAAAGCGATTGTCCTCGCGTCCTGTAAGGTGGCTCTGTTCATACCTGTTTGCTTTACTTATTGAGAGTGAAATGGAAACGTGTTAGAAGCAATTGCTTGATTTATTCAGTAGCCCAAAGATTCCTGATGCTTATCTTAGCACCGCAAACTCCTGGGTGCAAAAGGTTATCTGAAGGACTGGTGCATCGTTTCGCCCCTGGCAAGTGTCGAGAGCAGCTACTCACCGCTCCGGGAGAGCTGGCTGAGGCTTCAGCTCCCCTTGATCGGCTCGCTCTGAAAGCCCTGAATGTCCAGGTGAACAGATGAAGTGTCTTCCAAGGTTCCCTACTCTAGATCAGGACCTGCACTTCCTAACGCATTACTTTTTCTACAAACCTAGATTGTGGCAAGATCCTCTTTGCTCAAAACACTATGATTCTCAGGTGTTGAGAGGAGGGTGCCGCGCTGGAGGGATTAATCGTATTAATCGTTCTTTTCCCTCTCCTTCTCGCCCCGGCTTTCTCCCCTCCACTTCCTCTTTTGTGCTTCCTTCCCCAAAATTTGTTACCCCAATAAAGGCACAAAACAAACGCTTTTGCTTAAATCCAGCTTCTCAAATCCAACAATGTTCAACATCACTGTTTAGTTTAATACATGGTCCCACTCTTATGTTGCCAATAAGATGTTTTAAGAATTCCTTGTGCCACTCTCTCTGTACACATTCTGTGTCAGCTTTTTTGAAATCTATGATCCCGGGCCCCAGAAGAGACTAAGTGAGGACACCCAAAGGGGGAGGGATGGCACTGTCAAATTTTTGCCGCTGACTTTCTGTGTAGTTGGATGCATTCTGCAGGAACACGAACTCAGAAGGGCAAAATAAAGGCAGAAGCTAGTTTCTATATCGGTAGAAGCAGAGTTGTGTGAGATGAAAAATGAGAGGAAGCCAACAATTTACAAGAACGACTAGGCTGAAGCTTTAATTTTCGAATGAATGACCGCCAATTTCCCCTCTCCCTGGAGTTCTTTTCCGTTGCCCCCTTCTCGTTCTAGGGGACCATACTCCCTTGGAGGAGGAAGGGAGGGCAGGAGGCAGGGAGGGAAGGGGAAAGGAGAGAGTCAGTTTTCAGCTTGGCCATTTTTTTTTTGAGTGAAAACAGTTAATCCTGATAAATTTAACTACTACTAGGTCGCAGGAGACCTGAAACACTGTTTTCCTTTGAAGAAAGTGGTGGTACCTGGGGTAAGGAAGACCGGAAAATCCTAGCTATCCAAAAGGCAAAACCCGGGCCGCAAATTTGAGGAAAGTTTCTCATCATTTATTTATCGGCTGTAGTCTTTTTCCACTACAGTTTTCTGTATTACCTGAAAGCTCTAAGTGTGCGACATTCTCCCAAACCGTTAACTCACATAATTTCCATTTAATAGTTGACTTATTTCAAGTCGTTTAGGTCATTTAAAATTGTTTACAATAGTAAACTGGAAAGGAATAAGTAAGTGACAAGTAAAGGTTATTTTTCAAGTTTATTTTTATCATTTGCAAAATAAAATACATAAAACAATGGCAGTTGGCTTTGCTAAATTAAAATAAAATGATCTTGAATAGAAAATGTAAAAAAATGAATCAAGAAAAGTAGAAATGGTAGCAAACACTCAATAATAAATAAGTTGTCTAACATTAATTAACAAAGCAAAATAAAATTGACCAAATGCTTTTGACACTACTAGATGTGTTTTCAAAATTTTCATTGTTAAACAAACATTTGCAAAGAGCTTAAAGATCGTAAGTGGCTGTGTTTAAAACAACAACAAAAAAACTGGTCTGCAATTGGCAGTTGAATTTCTCCTGGAGCCACAGCAGCAGCGGCCGGATAAAGTGCGTGCGCCGTTTCCTGAAGGACGCAAATGTTCTCGCGATCCGATACACATACTGGGTATGTTCGTACAATACACAGACCTAAAGGTCCCTGTTTTCTAACAGTCCCGCAGCAAAAAGGTATTCACTTTGGAAGCAGTAACTTTGCTATTCATACTGCATTTTGGGAAACAAGTTTGGGAGACAAACTTTCCCACAGACAGGCGCGCGCAAAGCCTTGGGGTGGACGCCCGGGGTGGTAAAATAAACCCAAACCAGCGACAGAACAGAAGATGCGACTTTTTAGCAGCGTATTGGCAGCAAGGACTACAATCACGATGCCGCGTATGGGTACATATAATTATACCGCATCTATCTGTAGGGCAAGCAGAGTGGGAGGAAAGGTAAAACTTGAACAGCAAAGTTTCATCAAACAGTAGGGACCCCAGGGAGACTGGGACAGAGGTGGCATTTGCAAACCGTCCAGTGTAGCTGCCATAGAAAGCGCAGTCGTGGTTAAAAGACCACTGCGGAGCAAAAATTACGGGTGCGCGGTCGCGCGCTCTGGGAAAGGGCAGTTTGCGTCTGCCTCAGTTTCTAGGGTTCCATCCCCTTCCTAACTGGCCTCGTCCGAGTCACTGTAATGGGAGTGGGGGGAAAACTCCCCGTCGCTTCTGTGCGACCGGGGCGAGGTTTTGCTAGCGTCCTCGGGCCCCGGCTGCAGGATGCCCCCCGGCAGCGAGGGCGATAAGTTCTTGGGCCCCATCATCGCGGTCAGGGCGCCGTCCTCGAAAGGCGCGAAGTGCAAAGCGTCCAGCGGCACAGAGTAACCTCCCGCGGGGGTTGGGGCGGCGAAGCGAGTCCGGCAGCTCCCGGGCGGGGCAGGGCGCGGGCCGGCTCCCGAGCCCGGCTGCGCCCCTGTGGCTGCGGCGGGGCCCGCGCCGCCCTCATAGGAGGCCGCGGCGCGGAGGTGGTGGTGGTCACCCTTACAGGAGGCTGGCGGCGGGGGGGGCTGCTCCCCGCCGCTGGGCGTTTGCAGCAGCTCGGACAACGCGTTGATGTAAATCTGGGCCATCTGCAGCGTCTCATATTTGGACAGCTTCTTGTCGTTGTTGAAGGACGGGATAACATTGCGCAGCTGGTCGAAGGCGTGGTTCAGACCGTGCATCCTTCGCCGCTCCCGGGCATTAGCCGCCAGCCTCCGCTGCTTCTGCACCCCATTCACCTGCTTGCTGGAGGGGGCTCGCTGGCGGCTACAGCCCAGCTCGTCCACCACCACGCCGCCTTTCAGCTTGCACAACTGTTCCCGCACTTTCACCGGCCCCGGGCTCTTGCTGAGGCCGCCGCCGGTCCTCCTTCCCAGCTCCCCCCGGCTGTCCGCCTCCTCCAGGGGCGCCGCGGCCTCGTGGGCGCCCAGCTCGGGCGAGTGCAGCAGGTACTGGGCGGCGCGCGCCGTGCAGATGCCTTGCAAAGAGGGCGCCAGCCAGGCGCGTGGGTCGGTGCCGTCCAGGAGGGACAGCTCGGCCGGATACACCGGGTGCTCCCTCGCCTGCAGGCTGGCAGGGGCCTGCGGCGCGGCCTGCGAGAGGTGGTGGGCCTGGGGATGGCGGTGGTGGTCCCCCACCTCCTTCACTTCGGCCCACTCTTCCGCGTGCAGCAGGCGGGACATTGCACAGCGACGCAGAGGCAGGTGGAGGAGGCGCGGCGACCCGGCTGCAGCAGCGCGCACGCACACACGCGCGCACGGAACCCTGCCCGGGTCTCCGCCGCGACTTCTGTTCTCCTCCTCCTCGACCCTCCCCCACTCGGAGATCACACACCGGGTCGCGTGCAGCGAAGCTTCTCCGGTTGCCGAAGGCGCTGCGCCCTTTAAAAAGCGGCACGCGCCGGCCGCCGCCCGCTCCCCGGCCCCTCCGCGCGCCGGTCGCGTGTCTGAGCAGCCAATGGGGGCGCGGGCCGGCGCGTGCGGGCGGCCAATCAGGCTGCGACGCCGGGAAAGTCGCGGGGAGCGAGGAAGCGGCGCCTACTCGGGTTTTTTCCTCCTTGACTCTATAAAGTTGGTGAAATTCATATGTTAATCGCGGGCCTGTAATCCGACTCCGGGCGTGGCGCTGCCGCGTCCGCACCGTGGCTCCGGGCTGGGTCCGGCCAGGCTGAGCTCAGCCCCGAAAGTGTCCCGGACGTGCAGCTGCGCGGGCGCCCACCGCCCACCCGGGCCCGCAGCTCCGTAACTAACCACGGAGCAGCTCGGGCTCTCGTTCAAAATGAAAATAAAAGGAGGGAGGGACGCTGGTTGTCTCACTAAGTTCCCTAATTTTACCGCCTTTCCACCTCTTGCTGTAGATCTCACTGTTCTTCCTTAAGCAGTCTCGTTCGTCGGGGAAAGCGCGGCTGTGCTGTGGTCACGGCACGGGCGGGTCCAGGTCTCCGAGCTGATCCGGGTTGCGCCCCGACCCCGCGGCCCGTGGGGCCTCCACCCCACCCTCAGAAACCTCTCCGAGGACTGCAATTTTAGGGCAGGGATGGCTTACAGAATTATGCATGGTTTCCATACAAAAGCAGCAGGACTGCTGACTAACGCACAGCAGAAGAAGGTGGCCAAGTTCAGATGAAAGGCGCCTGCGTTCCCTGAGGTCCCCAACACTTTCGACTCCGCGGCGGGAGTTATCCCTCTGCCTCGGTGGCCTCGGCTGACGACCTCGCGTGCGTCTTCAGCACACGCCTAGAAGCCACAGCCTAAGTCACCTCTCCGCCTGTTTAGTCAGGGTGTGGACTCCCTCGCGTAAACCCGGGAGGTCCTTGGCGAGGTTGGGAAGCCAGCGCAGGAGAGCGCGCCGCTCCGGCTCGCCCGCCTCCTCTGTCTGCGCTCAGCGCTGCAGACCCGGACCGCGCCCCGCGCTCCTGCTCTGTCAAGGGCCGGGAATGGGCCCCCGCCAGCTGCAGCTGAGGCTGCTTCCGACTTCCGCGAGGACGATCGCGGAACCAGGCGTTTCATAGACGGAAAAAGGTGGTGGAAAAAAAGAGCAGCAGGGAGCGCCCTTGAAGGGTGTCATTGGAGGCCCCAAAAGCGGCTGGAAGGCATCCTCCCGGTGCTCACAGGGACTCGATCCAACGTGCGGTCCAGAACCCCGAGACGCGAGGACTCCGCCCCTGGACTGATGAGCTCCGGTCTCCCATGTAGACAGAGAAGGCTACCCTCAGAGCTGACACGATGCCTGCTCTACCCGCTTCTCCTTCAGCCTCGTCTGTTCGCTGGGGCGTGGGGGTGTTTGGGCGCTGCTGAAGGAAATACGTTAAAGATAGGCAAACCCAGAAAAACCCAAACCTCAATTTAAAAAAATAAAGAAAAACAAAAAGAAAATATTATCTTACGTTGCGGGGGGGGGGATTCACCAATATTTTGGTAACTAGACTGGATACTATTGATATCAACTAATAATGCTGTTACTACAAACGACGCTAGTGTATAAAGTGTGCTACTTCAAAAAACAATTGCTAGTAGATGTGGATACCAAAAGGAAGCTTGGAGAGGCATGACTGACCATCTGTGTCACACATCTGTGTACGTATGACCTCGCAAATAGCTGCAACCTAGAAGGACCATCTCCTACCTTGCGTTTGATTCCTCATACATAGACTTTCCCAGCTGCACCATCCGAAGGTTTTCCGATGAAAGTTCTGCCTTTCCCATACTGGGGCTACCAAATGCGCAGGATGTTCCAAGTTTCCGAGGGCCTGCATCCTTCAAACTTTTAATCTCTATTTGAAATTTGAGGATGTAACTGCAAAATATTACTTTACCTTTGGACTTGCTTCAATACTTTTATAATATTTATTGAATAAATAGAATGTTGGTCTTAATTGGCCAGCTTTGAACGTAGTCATTAATATTATTACTTTTTAAAAGCATAGCTTACTTTCTAGGTGAGTAAATTAGCGTATTCGTATAGTGTGAGGGACTCTTAAGAATTTCCTTAACTTGTGGCTTTGAAACAAGGAAGGGCTGTTTTTCTTCCTGTCTTGTCCCTTCAGGTCTTGTCTTCTGTCTCTAGGTGTGGCTGACAGAGCTGGGGTCTGCGGTGGGAAAGGAAGGTCCCTGTGTGTGGGGTTGGAGCCTGAGTAACATGGAGGCGTCCCTACCGCAGACCGGCCTGGGACGTTCAGACAGGAAAGAGTGAGCTCTGTGGGGCCGGATGGGGTGCAGCAGCCCAGCCTGAGGGCGTCTGTGTGTAGGGGAAGCTGGATTAAGTAGGCACAGAGGGCTGAGGCGAAGAAGTCAGTATTCATGAGAGGAGAGTGAGGGTAGGTCTCTCACTACATGGGAAGGGAGTTTCAGTAACGAAGTGGAGGAAGCTATAGTGTTGAATTAAAGTTGGAGATTGGATATGAATTTATGATTTTCAACAAATGTGAATACATGATATAGGGGTAAATATGGCATGTGTACCTGTATATATTCCTGTGTTTTTTCCCTTGGAGAATGAATTAGCAAGAAAGTCTATTTAATTCTCTGATTTTAGTTTCTAAATAAAGTTCACCAAGAGTGGCCAGAGTTCTTGGAAAAAGTGGATTGATTACAGGGGTGGAGCAGAAAAACAGGTGATGTACCTGCAACATCTTACTGAGTCAGCATAAGGAAAGGCTCGCAGAATCATGGAGATGTGTGGAAAGACCACAAAGACCTCTTGAAGAGATCCATATGGGACACTTGGGAAAATAAGCAAGGTAATGACAGTTACCAAGTGTTGGAACATAGAGAAATTGACCCTTTTGAATATAAATAGAGTAAATGAATACCTGGACGAGTTGATAAATACTTCTGTGCTACAACATAGCTATTGATTACACATGAAAGAAAGATTGACTATATCATGGAAGTGTATGGAAAATATCAGTTTAATCAAGCAATCAAAGTTATCTCACCAGAAATGAGGCAAAATGAACTTATGTGCTCTTTCTTAGGGCGTAGTGACCACAGCATCACTTTTAAAATATTCCTGAATCCAATCAAGATAAAACATCCAGCCATTCTAAACTGAAACAGATTCTAGAAAATAACTACTTTTAATCAGGATTATAAAAGGCAAATAAAATCTCAGGAAATATTCCAGGCTAGAACTGGGTCCTGGGTCAAGGACAACATTAGAACAGCTGATGAAACTTGACTGCCATTTAATTTTGATGATTATACTGTGATTGTATAAGAGGATGTCCTCCTTTTCAGGGAATACTCAGTCTAGTGGGGCAGCTTACTCTAGTGGCTTTGTGAGAAGGTTCTTGGCTCTGCATTTGTAAATTTTCTGAAAGGTTGAGATTGTGAATAAACTGGTGTGATGGTGCATGCTTGTGAACTTGGGAAGTTGAGGTAAGAGGATTGCTGCAAGTTTGAGGCCACCCTGGGCTACATAGTGAGTTCAGGAAAGGCCTGAACTACACAGTGAGACCCTGTCTCAACAGACAAACAAACAAACAAACTGATGAAACAAAACATATTTAGTTGGTTCTTTACACTTTTAGAGTTATTAATTCAAGCCAGTCCAATCATCATACCCAGTGTGTTGACATCTGTAGTTATTGCTAAAAGTTTAAGTGAAAATTTGCTTTGCCCAGTGACAGTAAAGTATGGATCCCATGAGTTTATGAGTTCTTAGGTTTTAATAAATATTCAAATTCTAAAAACCCTCACTATTTCCCAAGGGCTGAAATATTTTGAACATTATTTTGAAACACAGGCATGGCAAACTACTTTATGATCTTCTACTATCAGTATTTGTTCTCTATTGCTGCATGCATCTATAGCATATCTAAATATTTTTATAGGTATTATTAATAAAATGGATGTATGGCACATAATTTATAACTAACAATAAAATATGTAGTGCTCTATAAATCCCTATAATCAATTAATTTTCACAATCACTGATTTTATTGATCTTTGCCATTCTTGTATCTATTACTAATACATGGCTGTAACTGATGAATGAATGAATGCAATGTCCATATGAATGTTGGTTGATATTTTTCATTTGTTGCTAGAAAGAAAAAAATGAAATGAATATCAAAATGTATGTCTCAATTCACTTGAGAATCAATAACATGAGCAACTTTGCTGAGAAGGATGATAGCTTTCACAGACTGAAAGAATGTATGCTCAGTCTTTTGTGCTCTTCCTTATGGAATGGCTGTAGACTTTAACACAACTTAAGGATAATCTTCAGCATTTTCTTGATCATATTTTTAAGCATACTGCAAGACAAAACCACAAAGTAGCCTCAGAACTGTAGCATTTACTAATTTCTATTGGCATAAATACTCATGTTGCTCAATCAATGAAGATTTTTCTAGACTTCATTTAATGGACGTAGTTGAACATGTTCTTTACAAAACTTTTTTTGACTTGTGGACCTCCTATTCTTTGCTATTTCTTGCCATTTCTCAGGTTATTCTCTCTCAGTCACTCTCCAGGAGACTTAGCTTCAAATGGTTTGGTACTATGCTCTCATTTCCTCTTATTGTACATATCCCAACCATATGCCAATCAATACCAACTTTTAAGAATCTTTAGCCTGGTCCCTTTCCATTGTTTTTTATTGCTCTGAAAAGAACCACAGACATCAATAACCACCATGAATCTGGGGTATCAAGAGCTGTTTCTCTGAGTAAGTAACA